TTTCAGCAGGCAACTATTTTTACAGCTACATTATTGTTCCAGCCACAATTAATCACAACAATGTATATACAATTACAAATGATTATATATAAATCATCAGTTTGTTGCTTTACACACATGCACAGCCATTATTTCATACACGACATAGTCGTGAGATGCAAGAAACATATGGCAAGAAATCTGTAGACGCACCCATAACAACAAAAGACAATACTTTATTGAACCTTTTCTGATAAGTGTGCGTGCTGCAAACGCGAGCATTTTTGACGATAGTTTCTGTCCAGTCCACTCGTTTTATCACATTTAACCACAGCTGTCGTCGGTTTTTTGTCTGGCAGTGGCAGCAGATATGCGATCAAATTTCTAATTTGAGGCTGTATTACGTCGATTCTGGCACCCAACATCACAACAAAATGATATTTTAAGCTCCTTATGTAGCCGAATCTGTACTGGTTTGAATGGGTTTCTCCAGTTTCCCCTTTGTTTTGCTAGCGCTGTGTGGTTGGCATGGCCGTGCGTCACTCAGAAAACAACAGGCCAATCAGAAGAGAGGCTCGTGAATATTAATTAGACAGGCCAAAATCGACCTGTTCTCAGCAGAGCTCCTGAGAAAGGAGCTGTAAAAATATATTGAGATGGTTTTTGGTACGTATGCCGCAAATATATATTCTTAAGGACATCAAAACCTAAAATAAAACTCCAGAAAGGTGTAAAATATGTGACCTTTAAAACTGCTACACAGGAAGAGTGAAGCCAAACCTCCCCACTATATGACCTCTACATTGAATCCACCAGAATGATTCATGGCCAAAGAGCTCAACCAATTCCTATTCCTCTTAAAAAAAAAGATCTGGTTCTTCTGTAAACACAGCCAGTCAGAGAAGCATCTGAACCCTTCTCCATCCTGTCATGTTGGTGTTGATTTCAGCAGGTCAGATTTTACAGTTAAACGATCCAGTGCAACTGGGCTGGACAGTTTCCTTCTAAAAGCAGGACTACAGGTTTTCAAAGATTACCCTGCAGAAATAATGATTACTTGCTCACTTTTGAAAAATTTCTGATTGCATAAACTCTGAAATCTCTTTTGCTCATGTTTTTCTGCTTTCGAGAGGAAATAAAATAATTGAAAAAGGTTAGAGGAAGATAAAACGATATACAAACCCGATTCCAAAAAAGTTGGGACACTGTACAAATTGTGAATAAAAACAGAATGCAATGTGTTTTTATTCATAAGGCCCGAAGATCACGGGCATCCAGTATGGTTTTCCGGCCTTGACCCTTACGCACAGAGATTGTTCCAGATTCTCTGAATCTTTGGATGATATTATGCACTGTAGATGATGATAACTTCAAACTCTTTGCAATTTTTCTCTGAGAAACTCCTTTCTGATATTGCTCCACTATTTTTCGCCGCAGCATTGGGGGAATTGGTGATCCTCTGCCCATCTTGACTTCTGAGAGACACTGCCACTCTGAGAGGCTCTTTTTATACCCAATCATGTTGCCAATTGACCTAATAAGTTGCAAATTGGTCCTCCAGCTGTTCCTTATATGTACATTTAACTTTTCCGGCCTCTTATTGCTACCTGTCCCAACTTTTTTGGAATGTGTAGCTCTCATGAAATCCAAAATGAGCCAATATTTGGCATGACATTTCAAAATGTCTCACTTTCAACATTTGATATGTTATCTATATTCTATTGTGAATAAAATATAAGTTTATGAGATTTGTAAATTATTCCATTCCTTTTTTACTCACAATTCGTACAGTGTCCCAACTTTTTTGGAATTGGGTTTGTAGTACAAAAACACACAAAAAAGTCTGAATAATGGTAAATAAGATTAATAAGATTAAAATCTTATTTTGAGTGGAATAGAATGACCATCCAATCATTAATCAGTAGAAGATGCTTGGCTATGAAGCATCCATGTAAATGCAGGATAAATTTTGTTATTATACTGGATCCTCCATACAGTTTAGCATGTATGAGTTAGGATAAGGTCAAACACAGCATGATGCATCACAATCACAGCCAATCAGTATATAGTGAAGTGCTCCTTTTAATGCTAAATATATAGTTAAGACACACATCTCCGTTTTTTTTAAAGAAATTAATACTTACTTAGTAAAGCATCCTTGCTGAATGTCACTTTTATCCAATTTAAAG